CCCCCCCCCGCCTTTGTGGCGTGTTAAGCACGGAGCCGTGCGACAATCATCATCGTCATATATAGCGCAAATACGTAAAGTAAAAGACCACGGCTCGAAGGCTGCCGACTGTGTCGTCAAAGCCCCGCCGCTCCCCTCTCGCGCGTCACCGGCATCCTCGCGGCGTCCTGCCTAGGTCGCTCCAACGTCAACAATAACAACGAAAATATGAAAAAAATAAAAAAGAAGCAGGGCGAGCGAGAAACTGCTGCAGTGCAGCGCAGCAGGCCAGGCTTCATCGTTTCGCGCTTTTCGAGACAATTCATCAATCTACCCTTTAACAGCCACCTGGCCGAGCGGCGGCGGAAGGTCCGACCTTGGACCAGCTCGCCGCGCCACCGCGTCAAAGAGCAGGGCTGGGAGGGGCGGGGCGGGACGGGACGGGTGGCGAGGTGCGTGGGTGGGCGGTCGCCGTGAGTAACGAGCCGTTTGAATAATCGCCGAGGACAGGGTCCCCAAATTCGCGCGCGCCGCAGACAGGCTTTTGAAAAGCGCGCGCTGGCCGCCGCCGCCGCCGCGGGCCGCGGGGCCGCGTTCGCGGTCCGGCGGGAGCGTTCCTCCCCGCGCTCTGCGCTCTCCGTCTCGCTTCCTCGGCCCCCGCCGCCGCCGGCCGCAGCTGCGGTGGTGGTTGAACCCGCGCGCGCGCGCGTTTCACGTTTCTCGTTTCGACAGCGGCGCCCAGCGCCACGGCCGGCCGCGGCCTTTCATTCGGACGGACGGCCCTCCTCACCGTTGTCTTGCTCTCGTCTTATCACTCGTCGCCCCCAAGGTCAAGGCCCCCGGCGGCGGTGTCGTGCCCGTCACACGTCACCCGCGCGGCCCAACGGCTCCGGCACCGGCAGGCTGTGCTGTGCAGTCCGCGGGGCAGCCGGGGCAGGCCGGGATGCAGGTCAGTGTCACTGTCATTGTCTCTCTCTGCCGCGCGCCCCCTCGCCCGGTCATCTGCCTCCCAGAGCAGAATGACACGTCGAAATGATATCAAAACGTAGTCAAAACGATCAAGGTGGCGTCGGACCGGTGTCGTTATGATATCACACGTATTGAACGTCATGTTACAAGTTTTTAGCATCGTATTGACGTCAAAATGACAAGGTGTGCGTTGTTGTTGTGTTTCTGTGGGTTGTTTTCTTATAGGGTGGGGGGGAGGGTGACATTATGGAACGGATATGAAGCTTAACAGGTCAATTTGACGTCACCGTGTGGATGACCTTTACGTGTTACTTGCGCAGGGGCTTTTTAAGGCTTTCGAGCGGTCGTTAAAAAGTTACTCCCAAGAAGCACGGGTTGTGGCGTTGCCACGCGCTCGCCGATCTCAACACAAAAGCCGTCATGCGATGGGGGAGTCCGCCGACGACGCGGCGGCGGGTTCGTCGATTTCCTTGACGGGGTCCTCGCGGTGGCGGGGGCCGTGGGCCGGCCGCCCCGATGCAGTGCCCGCAGCAGTCCAAACATGATGAATGTGGAGGTCCGCTCCAGTCCGCGCCGCTGCTCTTGATTGGGTTACCCGTTGGGCAACACGTTCGCGCCACGCCACGCCACGCCACGCCACGCCACGCCACGCCACGCCACGCCGCGCCACGCCACGCCACGCCACGCCACGCCACGCCACGCCACGCCACGCCACGCCACGCCACGCCTCGCCAAGCTACGGTAATGCGAGGGCACTTCTTGCCACTTTCCTCCAAAGTGGGAGACCGGACCGCCAGCCACCGTCTGGAATAATAATGCAAATTGCAAGTCAAAAGCAACGACGCACTTTTTAGGCAGCTCCCCCCCTCTGCTCTCCCCCCGCGCTCCGTCGTCGTCCTCTTGGTCGTCTCTGGAAGCCCTTGGAGGCGCCCAAAGTCTACCCAACGACGGCGCAGTCTTCTGGAGCAGTGAGAGGGGGGAGGGGGGAGGGGGGCAGTCAGTAAGTGATGGACGAGCCTGCACCCTCCCTCCCCTCCCTCGCCTTGGCGGCATCTGACTGAATGAGTGAAAATGAATGTCTTTGTGAATGCTGGCCGATGCCGTCACTCAGGCACGCTACTCGCGCTCGCTCGCACTCGGCTCCGTGTCGACCCTCGACGCGCCGTCGTCGCCGTCGACACCGTCGGTCTGATGTCGTTATCATCATACGTTGGGAGGGGAGGGGGCGTTTCGCCGATTGTCGATGATCGGCCGCTCGAGGAAGTGACGCGGATGAGCAGAGTACCGTTGAGTCCTTGCGCCGCCTGCCGCCTCAAGTGAGGCGTCGTTGTGATTCTCGTTCCATTTGTGGGTATTATTTTATTTTAT